ATACTACTGTATGCACTTCTTTCTGGTTATTTCATTGAAAATATGAAAATAAAGCTGCAGTAGGTCACTTTTATAAAAAATAACTGTCATATTTTCTGAAATGTTCAGTGACAGTAGGACATGAGACAGATAATCTGTGTTTTTGGCCTGAATGAAAACAACCAGTCAGAACTGGGAATGGTAGCTGGTTGTTGAGTTTCAGCCCCAGTTCGCTTTGGGTTGGTGGCTTGAATATAGTAAGTTGTTGAGTTTCATTCTTAGGGACCTAAAGTGTTGGTATTTGACAACCTGGGGGTGAGGCTCAACAATAAACTCTTTCTCGGCTCTGATTGGTTGCTTTTGTTCAGGCCTGGTGGGTTCTTGTAAATGCCACTAGGAACACTAGGAGGAGCCAGAGGCTTTGTCAAATATGACAGTTATTTTTATAAAAGTTACCTATTTCAGCTTTAATCTACAATATCAGCTGACATGTTCAGGGCCTTGAAGGGGGGCCTGCTCTGTTTCATAATCCTAAGGGCCTGTCTTGCAGAGTGTCAAAGTCTAGTTACAAGCTTTTTATTATTACAGTTTTGTGCTTACTAGCTGTATATTCCTACATTCATTTTGGTTTTGTTTGCATAGAGGGAAGAAGAAATTGGGATCTAATGAGGACCCATCTGATCATTTTTGCCCCAAGGCATTTTATTCTGGTCATAATTTAGTAATCACCCATAACATAAAAAACAACTGCAAACTGAAGTACATTTTTTGGGACTACTCATCAAAATAAGAGCAACTTGTACATGCTTACACATCTACTAGTGTGTTAGATTTCCTGTGTTCTACTGTCCTAACTTCCTCACCTCTGTGTGATAACCTGCTGCCAGCACAAAGTATCTGCCTGTCAGTCAGTGGCGGGGTGAACGCGATCATGAACACGGTGCTTTGGCAGCATTTCACCATACCATAAGAGGATGAGTAGCTGTTTAAAGCCATCTGTCTAACGTGGCCTAACAAAAGGAACATTTTATCAGGGATACCTACTATTCATGCCTCATCCTATTGTACAGCGCCAGGAATAAAAAAAAAGGAGCAGCCCATAACTCATAACTCATCCTGACAAGAGCAGTGTTTTTCTGCAAAAAGCCACGAGTCAGACGGGGACGTCTGCTATACAGAACTTCACTGCAAAAATGTCACATTTAACACAAGCATGGAAGTAAGGATTTTCTTATTTAATATCTGTGATTTTCCAGTCTGGTAGGAGTAATGTGGACTTCCAGCAGTCATCAAATGATTAGGATTCCTAAAAGCCAGATCTGCACTCACACACTGGTTCCTGTGCTTGGTTTCCTAGACTACTACCTCTCAGAGATTCTCCTGGCCACCTGGGGACAGACCCATCCTCAAAGCCTTACAATATACGGTGCTTCCATACACTGCACCTGCAGCATCCTGAACTCAGCAGGCCATAACGTCACATAGTTGTAAAACAGCAGCTTTGTCTTCTTGGTGCAGAAATCTTACACTTGGTGGAGTAAGGCGAGCTGCCTGCCAGCTGCTGGCACTGCTCAAAACCCTAGGAAGCCGGCTTTCTGAAAATAGGGATAACAGTACTTCTGCAGCAAAAAGAAAGCAGTGGAAATTAGAACTCCACATCACATCGTATCACTTCCAGTTTCTGTGGTTTTCTCTCAGAACCACCTAAAATACATTCATTACAAGTGGCACGCACGCGTGTTGTAAATAGCGGCTGCTTAATTAAGAAGCAGTTCTTAGGAGAGGAAATGCTGACGTAAGAGAGAAGCTACTGGGCGCCTAATGGCAGCGGCAGATGATATCATCAGTTACACTCATTCTGCAAGCACAACGTGTGGAACTAATGGGCCTGGTCAGGTTTAATGGGCCGACGGGGTGGATGGAGGGACGCCCGTCATTGTTTTGGAAAGGTGATAGAGGTGATGAGAGCAATTAACCCCAATTACGAAAGGAAAGGAAAGGAGGGAGAACACGAGGAGGAGGAGGAGGCTCGTCCCCAGACCACAATTTTAAACTTTGATACAATACTAGCATGCAAAAAGCAATACCCAATACCACAGCAAATGGAGAAAAAAAAGTCCCACACAAAATAGAGCTGCACAGTGTTGGTAGAGAGACAGCCACTGAACACAATGAGGACGAGTTGATTTCCTTTCCCACTGTCTTATCTGTACAGCAACGGGTTTTAATCTGAGTGTAGATGTGGTTTTTTTTGTAGCTTCGGCACTTTAATACTATCAAATTAAAGTATTGCATCGTTTTAAATGTGTGGTGTCAAAGACGTATTCACCCATTATCACTTTTGACAACCTTACAGCACAGTGCAATACATCGGGCTTGTGGAGAAGAACACAGAGTGGGGAATACAAGTGTTAAACAACATGTCATGCTCCAGAAATCACAAGCAAACATCAAGAGGGAAACAACAGCTTGGGTAGACAGTATTAAAGTGACAGCAACACACTCCACCTGCACCATACACTTTATATGGAGGAATGCAACCTGGTCCTCAAAGTTATCTGAGCACTACGGGTTCCTTACTGCATGCACAGGAGCCTAAATGCATCCCAGATAGAAGAGAGCCACTGTCAGTCATTTGAGGTTGTGTCCTTCATCTGACTCCACTAAGCGTCGATAGGAGATGCTGATGATGAGGATGGGAGAAAGTGGAGGGAGGGAGGGAGGGAGGGCATGGTAAACAACCGAGCAGAGGATCAAAAAAACCAATGCGCCAAGATACTTGGAGGGCTAAAAGCCTCCTGTGTGACCACAAACAGCGTATGTTCCTGCCCCTGACCGTGGATAACCTACTTGTCTAATGAGCTCCGGCTGCTGTTTCTTCATTCCACTTCCACGGGCTGGATGTACGCGGCTGTGGGGCTGTTTAACTGAATACACAGAGGCAGTAAAAGCAGCCGACGCCTCACCCAGACAGCCTTTCTACACGGAGGAGGTGGAGAAAGATGCAGCTAGCTAACGGCTACTAGCAACGCACCTTTTACGTCCAAGAAATGTCAATAATAGTAATACACCGGGGGGGGGAATCAAAGTAATTCATTCGGCTTTGGAGAAACATGCGGACTGAATGATGAGTGAAAGGGGAAACAAATGTCTCTTACCAGTTCAAACGCGTCTAATAGTCCGCAGCAGTGTATTCCATTGTCGTTATGAAGGAATTATTAGACAGTGGTAGAGACTGCTGCTGCTGCTGCTGCCGCTGCGGTGGCCCTGATGTCGCCCTGCTGCTCGTCGTAGCCGCTGCGTGTGATGGCGTTAGCTCTGCAGGGCCACAATGAAACTGCTGCTGCCTTCACGGGCCGTCGGAACTACTGGAATGAGAGCCCGCGATTTGATTTGACAAGACTCAACCAAGGGACGTATGCTACAGAGAGGAATAGCACAGGACGTAGGAGCAGCTGGGGAAGTGTGTGGTTTTCGCAGTCGACTAGAGAACGCAATAGCTATTAAAAACTGTTTATTGGAATCTTTGTTTGACTTTGTTTAAATTGCAACCAATATTATTGTGTTGCCCTATACATTTATTGACTCTAGTTAGTACTGATATACAGCTTTTGTGTGTTTCTTAAAAAAAAACAACAACTGCTAACGCCTTTTAAAACTTTTGTTACTTTCTTGCTTTTATTTTTATAAATGGAAAAAAATCGGTGTATTGACAACCCAAATTTCAGAGGTTTGTGAAGGTAGCATAACGGGCCCGTCCGTTGACTGACAGGACGCTCGTCCAATCAAAGAACAGCAAAGGGTGGGCGGTGGGTGGAAGGGGTTACTGTGTATGTGTATAAACAGATTTCTAAGATTGAGATGTCTATTCAAACTATGAGAACGTTCAGGAGGATTTTATAGAGATACCACAGCAAAAACTAAACAGGTGGCGGACTTTGACTAGCTTTTAAAAGCGCAATAACATAGGGGATAAAAGTTATTAATAGAAATATAAGATACCGCCTAAGCTATCTAAAAAAATCAGTTTTGACATCTGATGGTTACATTTCTGTGTGTGTGAATGGATTTGGTGAAATAGATGGAAGATGAGCTGCTGTTTTTCTGTTAACCTATGCCTCTAATGAAGTGATAAACAGCTGTATGAGCGTCAGTGTCTCTTCTGTTTTCTACTTAACGCTGGAGCGCCATCTTCTGTCTGCACATAGAACAGCACGTTAGTCCAATAAGGTCTGCTCAACTTCACAAGCAGCTGGAGGAAACGTCGCAACAAATAACACGTTTTTAAGAATTCAATCTTGTTCATCAGTGTCCCTTTTTTGTTGTTATTGTTGCTGAAACTAAAATGTGGTCTCTGGAATCTGATGCATTACACTGCTATGCATCAGATTTCAGGGGGTCTTCAATGTTAGAATGTAGAGACTCTTACCATTCCACCCACAACTCAATAAACAGGATTGATCATCCTGGCTTAAATAGCCACTAAGTGTATTTGTTTAGGTTTCAGTGGGGTGTTTTATTGTCATATTGTAGTTTAAATGCTGTTTTAGAGTTTTTTTTTTACATTGCTAAATTTGGCAGAAATTCTCCATCAATAAAATTCCATTCCAAATCCATATAATTGATGTCAAACCGTGGTAACTATAAGCTGAGTCCATTGGCACAGGATCTCTCACAGCCTTTGTCCTGCCTGCAGACGGTTGGAGCAGAGCTGCAGTGACACTACAGGACTGTGGGGGGGTGCAGTGGTCCCTGCTGGATCCTCTGCTAATTGAAGTGCCAGTTGCTGTCTGACGTCTGCGGGCCGGCCGGTCAGTGTTGACAGCCCCACCTCCCTCTGCCAGCTTCCCACAGCTCATAACCTCCAGTTGTTCCCATCACACTGACCACTACTCGCACGCGAACACCATCCACGAAAATAAGGACACATTGTATCACACTTGATATAGCATTATGGGATTGGAACAGGGTTTTAGATCACTATTTCTGCATGGTTTGACCATAATTAGAATAGAATAGAATAGAATAGAATAGATCTTTATTGTCATTGTCACAGGCTCTCCAGTCAGCGCATCATTCATAGAAAAAAAGGAAATATAAAATACTAATTAATTTAAGTGCTAGTGTTACCTAAAAAAATAAGTAGAAACATATAACATCACGAGCAGCATACATAGACACACAGTCATACACACCCATTCATTGCATAAAAAAAGAATGAACACACAGTTATTGCATAAAAACAGTATAAACATTCATCTGCAGGCATGCATACCATCTGTCCTTGCATTGATCCATTTAATATCTGAGTCCATATTGCACTTTATTTTGTGCAGCATTGAGGGTAGTTATTGCAGTTGGATAACAACTGTGTTTGAGTCTATTTGTCCTTGCTTTAATTGATCTGTACCTCCTGCCTGAAGGCAACAGTTCAAACAGGGAGTGACCAAGATGGTGGGTGTCCTTTATGATGTTCTGGGCTTTTTTTGAGGCAATGGGAACTGTGTAGTTCTTCCAGTGTGGGGAGAGGGCAGCCAACAATCTTTTGAGCGATGTTGATGACCCTCTGGAGCACATTCCTCTGAGCCGCTGTGCAGCTGGTGTACCATACACATATGCAGTATGTTAGTATGCTCTCAATGGAGGCACGCTAAAGGACACCAGCAGTCTTTGTGTGATGTTATTTCTCCTGAGTATTCTCAGGAAGTACAGTCTCTGCTGAAAGGTCCTCCTCGATATGGACTCCCAGGAAGCAGAAGTCTGCCACCCTCTCCACACAGTCCCCGCTGATGATTAATGGTGGGATCTCTGTTTTATTTCTCCTGTAGTCTATGATGAGTTCTTTGGTCTTTGAGGTCTTGAGGAGCAGGTTGTTGTCCCTGCACCATGTTGACAGCCACTCCACCTCATCTCTTTAGGCAGACTCGCCCTCCCCCCTGGAGATGAGCCCCACCACTGTGGTGTCATCCGCAAACTTCACCATGGTGTTGCTGTGATGGACAGGGGAGCAGTCGTGTGTGTAGAGGGAGTAGAGCAAGGGACGCAGCACACAGCCCTGGGGAGAGCCGGTACTGAGGCTTAAGGCCGTTGATGTATGATGGCCCACTCTGACCCTCTGTCTGCGGTCGGAGAGGAAGCTATTGATCCACATGCAGGTGGTGTGTGGAAGCCCCAGGTCGCCCAGTTTGACTACTAGCCTGTGAGGGAGCATGGTGTTGAATGCAGAGCTATAATCCACAAAGAGCATCCACACATAGCTCCCCTGCTGCTCCAGGTGTGATAGTGCAGTGTGTAGTGCTATGGCTATGGCGTCTTCTGTAAATCGGTTCGCTCTGTAGGCAAACTGGTGGGGATCAAGGCTGCGGGGCCGGGCAGCTGTGATGTGACTACGGACCAGTTTCTCAAAGCACTTCATCACCACTGGGGTGAGTGCTACTGGTCTGTAATCGTTGAGGCTAGAGATGTGAGGTTTCTTGGGCAGTGGGACTATGGTTGAGGATTTCAGGCAGGGTGGGACAGTGGACTGTTCCAGGGACTGGTTGAAGATCTTTTTGAAGATTCCAGCCAGCTGATCTGCACAGTCCTTCAGCACGCATCCCAGGATGCCATCAGGACCAGCCGCCTTCCTCGGGTTGATGGCCCACAGCGTGCGCCTCACCTCATGCTCCTCAATTGCCCAGTGGTGTAGTGGTGCCATCTCTGGTGCTGTGACCTTGAAGCGGGCAAAGAAGATGTTCAGCTCCTCTGCCAGTGCGAGGTCACCTTCAGCAGCTCCGAGGTTGGGTCTGTAGTTGGTCAGATGCTGAACTCCCTGCCACACTTGCCTGCTGTTGTTGCTGCTCAGGTGGTCCTCTATCCTCCTCCTGTAGTCTGCCTTGGCCTCTCTGATGCCCCTCTTCAGGTTGGCTCGGGCTGTGCTGTAGAGTTCTTAGTTGCCAGACCTCCAGGCGGTGTTCCTCTCCCTTAGCAGCTGCTGGACCCCCTGTCTCATCCAGGGCTTTTGGTTGGGGTAGACCCGGATGCGTTTGTACACTGTGACAGTGTCTATGCAGTTCTTAATGTAGCACAGAACACTATCTGTGAACACTTCCAGATCCTGATGTTCAAAGACCCCCCAGTTGGTCCTCTCAAAGCAGTCCTGTAGCTGCTGGGAGGCACCCTCTGGCCATGTGGCAACAGTCTTTGTGATGGTGGGAGCAGTTTTCCTGAGGGGGGCATATGCGGGGATTAAAAGCAAGGACAAGTGGTCGGACTGGCCCAGGTGTGGTAGTGGCCTTGCCCTGTAGCCCTGTTTGATGTTCGAGTATACCTTGTCCAAGGTGTTATCTCCCCTTGTAGCACACTTAACATGCAGATGGAATTTAGGGAGTGCTGCCTTTAAGTCCGCATGATTGAAATCCCCTGCTATGATATTCACGGCATCAGGGTACGTGCTCTGTGTTTTGGTAATGCTAGCATGCAAAAGTCCAATAGCTGAGCTAGCATTAGCATCTGGTGGGATGTAAACAGCCGTTATCAAGATCACAGTGAACTCCCTTGGGAGATAAATGGGCCTGCATTTAACAGTCAGATATTCTAAATCTGGAGAACAGATTATTATGAAGTTCTAACAGTATTCTGAAGTCAAAACTGAGTTATCCATACACTACATCCAACACAAATGAGTATTACATTATACTTACACTTTATTGTATCATTTATTTTGGTGGGTTTAATGTTTGATAAACCTTTTTGTCAGATATCATCAAATGACTGATGCTCAGACTCGGACATTGAGGTCCTGCTTGAAAAGTGCATACACAATAATGTAGAGGGCGGTGGGCCTCCCCAGGGGGGCTCCAAACAGTTTCAAGGGAGAAGTGAAACAATATTACATAAGTTATCAAAAGGAGATCACATACAAAACACCTAATGTGTTTGGTGAAAGAGATAGTTCAGAAACAAACAAATGCCTTAGGACAGAGTTTTTTATGTGTTTGGTGCAGTTGAAGTTCCATCTAACAGCAATATCAGGCTCAACGGTTGAGTGTCTGTGGGATCAAATAACATAACAATGATCCCAAAGGAATCCAGGAATTGAGCCAAACTAAGCAAGTAAATTGAAGTAGTGGTTTTTCAAAATGATGCCTGCTTGACACTTCAAAAAAGGTGATGCTACACCTGTGTTGAGTTAAGTCAAGAATAACCACTGCAGCAGTCAACAAGTAACTGCTTTTCTGAAGAGTAACTAATGAAATCTAAATGTATGTAAAGTAACAATAGGTTACAAAAATCCAAAATCATGCATCCCTAGCATGATTTTGGATTTTTGCCGTAGTGAAATGAATTTATTATGCCTACTCTCATGGTGAGGGCCCACTGGCAGATGCAGACATAAAATGGGGAGTAATGGATTACATGTAACTGAGATACATAATCAGGATACAAAAAAAGTTATATTATATTAATAGTTTTTAGTAAACTGAAAACAATTTTGATGCTATTTAGTTTCCATCTTCTTTTCAAAGGTTACATTGTTCAGTTGCGTTATAGAATACTCTCTTCTTCTTATTGATATGCTTCTGTCTTGTTTTTACTTACATATTCGGTGTTGAGGTAATCCAAAACTCTCATATGTGGTCCATATGTGGTTTTGCAATATGACTTTAGTGTGAACAGTCATAAGTTTTAAGTCACTCGACCATTCGTTCCCAACCTGGGGGTCGCCAAAGCTTCATTGGGGGAGTCACAAGGCCCTCTTGATTTTCAGGCACGTAAGAAAACTAAATGAAAATAGACACAGTAGTTCTATATCTCAGCATTTGGTTCACTTCTGTGAAGTAGATAGAAAGTAAACTGTCTAATAGAACGACGATCAAGCATCAGGGGCAAAACACTGGATTTGTCAAAAAAGAGGCTTATTTAGTCTGTATGATTATTAAAAATGATAAAAATACATAATACAGACAGATAATTGTATAAAAAAGTTCCCTAAACAGGAAATAATCTGCTCAAAATTCATCCAATGTTTTACATATATTGCCTGGTTTTGTTAGAGGACTGGAGAACAGGCTGCTGACAGGCGAGCTTCTCTTTCATAATAACCAGACCGACGGCTCTCAATGTGGGTGATTACATTCACAGTGTTGAAGGAATGACCTGTTTCCACAGCGGCCATTTGAAAGGCAGGATAGACACTGGTGTTAAGGTTAATTAAGGTTCCGTTCCATTCAGGTCAAAGAGAGTCAGGGTGTGCACTGTTGTGTGTTGAAGGGCTCTGCTACACTAAATGGAACTGAACCTTTATTAGTCTCATTTGTAACAGCTGTGTTTACCTTACAAACGGCTAACATGTTAATAATATTCTTTAATAAAGTTATTTGTTTAAGGGAAAAATAACCTATAACCGTCAGGCTCTACTTAATTTGAGCCTGTTCCCACAACCCCCGATGCAATCTAACGGAAGAGCACCACATACATTCTGCTAACAAATCTTTATTGTACAAATAAAGTCAATAAAACACAACTTGAGTCACAGACTCTAGTTCTGCAAAATCTCTGTATAAATGTAAAGTATATAGATACATCAACCCAATAATTTCACAATAAAAAGAGAACATGTAAATCAAACACTGAAATGTTTTTACTTTCAAAAAGTGAATTTCAAGTATTGGTTGATGAGCTGTCATAAAAGATGTAATACTCACTGTTCACCAGTGAATGTGAGTGTTTCCTTCAAGACAGTTCCTGTTAGTGTTACAGTTAGTTATGACTGTAGTAAATCTGAGTGCACTTCACATTCTGTCAAGAAATGGACCATGGACTAGACAGCAGAGATTCACTGTGTCAGTGCTGACTGACTTTAAAATACTAGCAGTTTATTTACTGCCTGAACTTCATGACATTAAATGCAATCTGCAAGTGTCTATTGCCACTCAGCTGACAAATACCAGCTACTGCTCTCATAATACTGGTACCGGGACGTTTAGTTCAATTCGCTGGCCGCACTGACAGAAGACTGTGCCACTTTGTCTCAGCCAGTTTGAGTCAAACTTCCTGTTCCAAGATTTATGTTTATACTTGTTACATGACAGAAATATACAGGTAAAAATATACAAAAACATACACAAATCTGTAATAGTACTGCTGTGGCTGGCCAGGCTGTGTGGTCTGTGTGTTTGCATAGATTAACAGGACAAACATCCCAACACGGAAGTGTTTTCTTTGGGAGTGTATCACCTTAAAGTAACCCTAACACTGTACAGGCCGGGGGCATTGTCATGTTGAAACAAAGAAGAGACACAAACTGTTGGCACAAAGTTGGAAGAAGGCTATTGTCTAAGATTTCATTGTGTACTGTAGCTTTAAGATTATATGGAACTAGGGAACTTTGTTGGAACTAAGGGGCCAAAACCAGACCCAGACTGGTACATATATTGTTTTTTTTTAATATGTCTGTGTGTTGTTACTGTGTGTAATGCTGCTGCTACACTGCAATTTCCCAGCTTGGGATCAATAAAGTATATCTATCTATCTATCTATCTATCTATCTATCTATCTATCTATCTATCTATCTATCTATCTATCTATCTATCTATCTATCTATCTATGGTTATGTGGACAGGAGTGTTTTTGTACTTTTAGGTGAATGCTGTCAGGAAAATAAATGTGCTCACTGTAAAGCAATTAATACTATTTATTTATCATTTTTATATAATTTTATGAGACTTTTCCCTCCGTCCTCGTTTTCTGTTTGGGGATGTGGGTCGGATTTTCCACAAAAGTCCAAAGGAGTCCACTAACGTTGGCTGTGGACTGATTTCTATGTGTTTCTATGTAGGGATGTGGGTTTGATTTTTACACACTCCCAAGTGCCTTCTCTCTCTGCTCTATACAGTGTCAACACTGTGCCACACTCACTAACGTTTATAATTGAAGTGTGCTAACGTCTACTACCTGGGTCTGGTCTGGCTGGCTCGCTGTCCACAGGTTACTTTGTTGCAGGGCGGCCGGCCAAATCTGCAGTTTCCCACAGTTCTCAAGGAACCTTTTACCATCTTTTAGCTTGTTGTTTTGGTTTTCATCCAAATAGGTGGAAAATAGGTGTTCTGACAGCTGAGAGAGGATAAAGTGTAGTGTATAATCACCTGAAAATAAGAATCATTGTGTTTTTGTTACTTTTGTTGCTATCTTAGAATGAGCCGTTTTTATCTACAGACTGCAGGTCGCCTTAAATGGAGTCCACCCTGTTGAACCGCCATGTTTCTACAGTAGCCCTGAACAGACAATTCTTTTTTACCTCCACATGGATGTAAGATTTTACTTTGAGTATGTACAGCGGTGTCAGTCGCACCTTGTCATTTGCTTTTTCGTACATAACTTTTGACAGAGTAAGTTTCATTCTCAACATTACATAATATAACATAGAAGACAGTTATTTTATTATATAAGCCGATGATATTTAACACACTGGAACAAATGAAAATATGTATTATAAAAACGAACTTGAGTGAAAAAGAGTATACATTTCAGTATACGATACGATATAGTGATAACCTGGGTGTCTTGCAAAGACCCTTAAAACAAAGTCTAATATTGACTTCCACTGGAAGCACAGACTTTACCTTTGGAACAGTCCTGAAAAATACTGTATATCATGTCCATCAGTCCGTCCTGGTGCTGCGGACTGTTTTTGTTTGAGAAGCCTCGGAGACGACTGGCTTCCCACTGCCATCCTCCTCACTGACAGAGAAAGAGATGGAAACATATTATTCAAATCAGCTTTGAGCCTCTGTACAGAGTTTTGATGAAAAACAGTACAGCCCAGTACTGAAACATTTTTGGTCTGACTAGATGCTAATCAACTTATTTAAAGTTTTTGAGTTTTTTCATAATGACCTTTGGGAAATAACCCAAGCCAAGCAACAAAAAGATTGTGTCTACATACCAGAATACATCAGTTCATATTCCAGCTATAGCTTTCATATTCAGGACATTCTTTCAGTCACCGGGAGCCAAGTAAATCATTGGTGAGTCAAAGTAAAGGTTGTTTGAGTGCTTTTGTATGTAATATACAGAACCTAAACTTGTGGTGATTCCACTCTTTAGTTTGCTCGTCGTTGGTCCATTATGCACTGATCAATAAAATAACCTTTTACAAAAATGACTTTATACCTTTTATTAAATCCCTTCCAACTATTGACTTCATTAATTATTATTACATACATTATGAGTCTGGACAGATAGGGATGTTAACTGCAACTTGACTGGCTCGTGGAGGCATACAATCACAGGGTTCCCACATGTCCTGCATAAACCTGGGTTCCTGTTTTGCCTGTTGGTAGGATAAACCGTATGACACTCCAAACGGGTTTGCCAGATGCAAAGTGGAACTGACTTCCAGTGATCTTTTTCGGCATCGAGTCATTTTTTTCCAGGGCCGCAAGCGAAATTCTCATATCCTGCATACAGACTAATAATAATCAAATTTTGATTATTGATATCAGCTGTGGTTGATAAATACACAGTTCTTGTGTTACTTCTTGGTTTGAACTGTTACCGATGGGCTGTGGACAAATGAATGTAGTCAAATTGCCTGAAACCAAAGTTTATATGACCGTTTGTAAGCCAGTGTTGTCTTGTATTGTCAAGAAAAAACCTGGATAATGTCTTGGAAGATTCCTGGAAAATTATTTCTTAAAAAGGAACCCTGAACCACAGGGCGGTAGTTCCAAGTTTTTTGTGGTTGTTGGATTTTGGGTGAACTGACCCTATTAATGACAACGGTCTGAAAGCGGTGGCATCATACCTGAGGTTGGATCCCTCCACGTCCTCGATGGTGTCAGGCAGGGGCTTATTGGCAGTCTCAGGTAGCAGAAGGGTAAGGGCAGAGCCCAGCAGAGGGCACAGGCCACACAGAATCATGGGAGCCTGTGGACTGATACTCCTCAAGAGGTGCATCATGGGAGCCAGGACCCCTCCGGTCCGAGCACACATGGAGCCTATACCGATCCCATTTTGTCTGCGAGAAGACAAAAAGAGTCAGAACCTGAGCACTGCTGAGTCAGCTCCTCTGCTACCAGGCTTTCCAAGCAATTATTATTATCCCTTTAAAACCAGAGTAGCTTATTATTTTCATGAGTTTATTTTTACTTATTTGCTTTGAAAGAGTTTCCAGTTAATAGAACTGTTAAAAAGAGTTCCCGGGACCAGCTATTGCCTAAATACACCAATCAGCCATAACATTATGACCACATGGGCACTTCACCAGGCAATCCTCAGAATGTTATGGCTGATCTGTATATAATACAGTAGTAATGGGTTGGGGGGAGGCATGTATGTTTTTTTTTTTTTTTTAATCAAATAACATTTTTTGAATTTTTTTTTAATTAGCTGAGAAACTATCTTTCCAAGTAGCCCCTGGTAACTGCTGGAGTTCATGAGGTACACATAACCCTGGCTGGGATTCACTGGTGTAAGCCACAATGTGGATGGACAGTACTGTATTAGGGTCATTGTGGTCTTGAAGCAATCAATATAAATGGTGATCATCATTTCAGAATGGTGGAAGAGGAGAAAGAAAGGCAGGTCTTCATTCATCAAAGGTTAAAGTAAAGCATTCTGGGACATCGTCAGCCAGAGCGGGTTTGGTTTTAGTAGAAGCTGTTAAATGGTCTCAAATGTAGCACAGGAACCTTGCTGGGTAGCAAAACCTTATAGTCAGGAACACTCTAGGGTGGGAATGTAAAGATATATCGCAAGACAGTTAAATCATGTTACAAATATGTGAAGATTGAAAAAGTAATTGTGGTGGAAACAGCAGAGGGGGCTATCTCCTTTTGACTTTGCTTGTTCGACGTCCTATGTTACTGACGTCAGTAGAGGTATCAAAGCTCAAAGACATCATCACTTTTACAAAGAGTTTATACACTACCTCAGAGATAAAAAAGCATTCTATAATAAGAAATATAGAAAATATAAGAGAAATATATTTTTTAAATATTTCTCTGAAGAATAAAGTCATTTTTTCTCAGTCCTAATACTGTCTCATTTTGTTAGATGTTTTTGAATCGTGAGTTCCCTACTCAAGTGTGTTTGGTAGGAAACACTTACCTGATAACAGTGGGGAACACCTCAGCTGAGTAGACGTAAATAATGGACAGAGAGGCCGTGATCCCAAACTTCCCAATCATTGCCAGCACAGTTTTAATGACAGACAGGTCTAGAGGAAAGGTCAAACAAAAGTGAGGGAAACCTTCAGACAGACTGGAAACATAGCGGAAAAAACCCATTAACTGTCCATACCACTGGGAATGAAGATGGTCAGCAGGCAGGCAGTGCCACCCACAGCCAGGAAAGCCAGCTGGGAGATCTTGCGGGAGCGGTTGAGGGTGAACAGGGTGATAGTGCGTGCAGGCATCTCCACCAGGCCAAAGATCATCTGGGTCAGATAGATGTTCATTCCAAAGTCAGAGATGTTGAGAGACAGACCGTAGTACACGAGCACGTTGGCAAACCTGAGGCAGAACAACAGCATCATTCTGGAGGACAGTTAACGTCCTTCCTGTAACTGTATGACCTCTGTGTTACCTTCACCACATAACTGACACACCACCATTGCCATCACTGGAGATAGCTTCTCCCAGTTAAGATTCCTTCAGTGTTCATGGTTCAGGAGGTTTCTACCGGGAGCTCCAAAACACAATATTCTACAGTCTATATTATTCAGCAGCTGTTCTGGTTATTCATTTGCTGTTGTCTCTGGCAAAACTGTGGTTTAAATAGTTTTTTCCCCTGTGCACATACAGTATCATCCCTGTCCCGGTTATTTATTATCCCAGTGTGGATCATATTATAATGTTTTATTTCATTTAACCTGGTCAGACCTGTTAAGATCAACAATGTATTTTCAAGGAAGACCTGGCCAAAACAGCAGTATAAAAACAACAATATCCACAAGAAAACATACGAGATATACATTAATGTGTCAAAAACATTTATATTACCTAAGCACAGTGACAAGTACCAACCGAATATGTACTAACACAGTTCGGTCTGCACACTTGGAGCAGACACCAAGACCATATCTTGTGTTCTCAAACGATAGCTAGTCAGATCTCTGGACAGTCCAATCAAAGTGCAAATTTCTGTTTGCACTTTATTCATTTTATTCAGGTTAAATACCGACGCTGGGAATGAGACTCAGCAAACAACTATCATCAAGCCACCAACCCAAAGCGTCTCTTTATCTTTCTCGGCTCTGATTGGTTGTTTTCATTGAGACTTTCAGACCCTTAAGAGCACTAGGAGGAACCAGATTATTCCACACATTATCTGTCTCTGGTACTACTGTCAGCATATAGTGAATGTTTCAGAAAATATGACAAAAAGTTATTTTTATAGGAGTTATCATTTTTGAGCTCCAGCAAATCAGTGTGCTAATTAAAGTTATGTTATGTTCTTACAATCCATTCAAAAGTTACAAATAATATTATTTGACTGACTCTTTGCACAAAATGGGCAGAATTTGAGAGGGGCTTCAGTGACGGTCACTGCTGACTTATCAAACTTTCTGAACAGGCAGAGCTGGCCTGGCTCTGTAAAATCAGTTTGGAACTACACAGCGTTGCCAACTTTCACACTTTCAACAAGTCTCAACAAAAGAATCTCTAGACGGATCTCCAAACTTGTTAGGCTACCATTCAATACACAGTATGTGTGCAGTGCTCTGGGCTCACTGTGTCAGCAGCTTTCTGCGCTGCCTTCAGTCAGTGAAAGAAAGCAGCCTCGTTAACACCAACACATGTACATTCCAGTGTTGCTAACGATCTGCCGCAAACCCCTGCCGTTAATCCGGGGAACTCCTTTTAACAGTTCTATAAACTGGAGACTCTTTCACCCTTGTTTGCTGTCTTACTTAAAGCTTTTACACAAAGGGAATATACATGCAGTTGACTATTACAAATCAGCAAATAAGTAAAAATAAACTTGTGAAAATAATAAGCTACTCTGGTTTTTAAAGGGATATTCTGGTTGTCTGTAGACATTTTAGTACAAATACAATGATCTTTATGCAGAAAGCCTTGTGCTTGGTGAGGTAGTGTTACACAGCAGATTACAGAGTATCCCTGTATGCTTATCCTCTCTTTAGTTTGTAAAACCGTCCATCGGAATTCTTTCTGAATGTACATTATCTTCTCTATGATATAGGAATTTGAAAATGAATGGTGTATAGCATAACATGTGATTAAAAAGGAACTATTGTGCTCAATTCCCGCTCTATATGTTTATTCTGGGACTAGAGTGGTTTTGCATGATTTACAGTTAAAAAACAAACTTATTTATCTTATACTGGCCCTTTATGCAGCCTCTGAGTTCAGAAGTCCAGCGTGTAACATTGAGGAGGATCTATTGGCAGAAATGGAATATAATATTCAATCATAAAAGAAGGTCTCTGTTACAACCTGGAAACAAAGTTTTAAAGGCCCATTATGTAACTTTTCTATTGTCAGAAATAGAATAGAATATTCATAGGTATGTTTTCATTAGTGTATAATTAGCTGGAATAAGAACCATTGTGTTTTTGTTACCTTAGCTCAGCTGTTTTTATCTACAGAAGGAGTGGGTCTCTACGGAGGCCGCCACATTGAACTGACATTTTTCTATTTACATAAATGTGTATACGTACTTAGAGGTATAAAGAAATTAAATTAAATCATAAATATACTCTCCCCTGGGGTTTGCCCACTTTTTAAGATTATTTAAATATCATAAATAAAATATACGAAAAGAAAAAAATGGTATCAGTTTCAAATATTGCAAGGTTGAACACAGCTGACAGGCTGACAAGAGACGGTGGAGAGGACTGCTTTGGAAAAGCAAAGTTGAACAGACAGTTAGGAATGTGGAATGTCCCTCCCAGTGCCCCTCCTGCTTTACCAAGAAGAAAACAAGAAGTTCTGCTGTTTGGGCGGGTCATTGTAAAACACCAAACAAATAAAAATAAAGTCACAAGTAAATTTGTGTACTCTTACTGCAGCAATGCAGTGCTATCCAAGGACACCACAGCCACTCCTATATTTATCAGAAACAGCATCACTGCTGTCTGTGATTGTGTTTAAAATGATGTACTTATTCCACATGTCAGTTGTGTCTTAACAGAGCGAGAGACAAGAAGATGAAGACACACACACACACACACACACACACACACACACACACACACACACACACACACACACACACACACACACACACACACACACACACACACACACACAGGCAGGAGAGCACATAATTCATTAAGGTTATTATAAGGATCAGCTATATGTGTGTCACCTCTGATGTAAAAAGCCAGGCTTGTTTGCGCCTATTTATTTGGCAATGGCCAATGGCGAAACTCCTTGTCAAGTCTTAAAGTTAATAAAAGAGAGAGGGGACGTTCTGCTCATACTCACCAGAGATAAAAAATAATCAGAGACTGCTTCCTCATTTTTGGGGTTCGAACAAGGTCTATGAATGAGTGTTTTTTCTTCGCTCTCTCTGTTCGCTCCTCACTTTTATAGACCTGGTGACACAGTGAGTAAGACAGTTAGTAAGAGACAAAACACAGCACTGTTTAAGTAGTTTGCATGTTTAAATGATAATGAAACATTTATGCAAAGTGATAATGGAGTGAGTGGAGTGCCTATGTGATACACTTAGTTGACTCGCACTATTACTAAAGCAAGAGGAACTATTCAGTATTGTGCAGTAATGATCAATGAGGTGACTTACAAATCATGATTTTGATATTCATTTGTCATTTCTAATCAAATATAAAATGGGATTTTGTTGCATGTTTACAAGCGCTACATTTTGTTTACTTGCCTGCTTTATGCCATTTTATATTTTCAGCTGCGAGTAAGAAGCTGAAAAGAGAGTCTGACACTCAAACCCCCCCGCTTGATCTGTGTCCCGAGGCATGGGGCCACTAACAAGGTGTCCCTTATTTGTCCACACTGAAGGTGGCAACCCTGAGTATTTCACACTGTGTGGAAGCCTGGATTAGACTTTTGTTGTTGTTGGCAGCTCTGTCCTGCTTTTTTATTTGATTCTGGGAAGTTTACACTCCAGCAACCTCAGCCAACTTTATCCAAGAAGTGTTGCCTTTGCAAAACATATTGGTCAGTCCTCATTCTGAAAGCCTTAACTCTTGTAATGTTAAAATTGAAAACATATTGTTTGAAAAAACAAACAATTATGTAAATTAAGCAGCCAAGCTGGGTTATAGTAGAGTGACGTAAGAGTCTGATCTGTTCCTTTTCATACTAGGACTTTCTAGCTCTACACTGCTATACAAGAATGATGCTGATTCTATATTTCCACATATTCTGCATGGATCAAAAACTGGTGAGAATGATGACTTTAGACTCCACCAATTCTTGTTTTATAACTAGTTTAGCTGCAAACATAAAAAAACAACAACATGAGCCAATATTGAATAAAAGTTTAAAGGTCCAGTGTGTAACATTTAGGAGGCTCTATGGGCAGAATATAATACTCATAGGCACGTTTTTATTTGTTCATAAACATCTGAAAATAAGAATTATTATATTTTTGTTACCTTAGAATGAGGTTTTAATCTACAAATTACTTCCATGGAGTCGGCCATGTTGAACCGGCGTGTTTCTACAGTAGCCCTGAATGGACAAACTAAACACTGGCTGTAGATAGGGCTGTTCACATTCTTCAGGCATTTCCCAGCCACCGTAGTTTCTCCTTCGAGCTTAGAAGGGGAGGGTGAAGCGAGGGAGCTGTAATCTGCAGCTTCCCCACTAGGTGCCACTAAATCCTGCACACTGGACCTTTAATTAGAGCGGATAAGCTAGCTAGAGCTGACAGTTGCTGAATAGAAACAAGATGCTGCTTTTGACCAACCTCTATCTGAAATCAAGGCAGTCACTGTCTAAGCAAGTCAATGGTAAATCTGCCACCGTTATCACTGTACAGTGGCATATGTGCTGTGCGAGAACAGAAATCCTGACAGGTAACTAAGGGGGGTGAAGCTTAGTAAATGTTCAATTTTACAACATCAGTTTTGGCTGTGATGGATATTTGTTATTATTGGTGACATTTTAAAAAAAAGATTAAATAACCTACTAGTAAATCTAAAACATCTACAGACTAGTAAATAATAAAAAATGTCTCATCTCTACCTGACACATCTCCAAATCTTTGCTGAGGGGCTTCCCATTCATCTGCGCTGCTTTCCGGATCAGTTCCCATGCCTCCTCTTTCCTGTCGTTGGTCATTAACCAGCGAGCTGACTTTGGCAACACCCTAAAAATGTTAAAGATAAGTTGCTCAGGTGACCTACTTACAAATACGTGTGCTTTACCCACTGCGCTGCTAGAAGAAAGGGGGCAGGTGTAACATTGTTACATGTTTGACAAGTAATAAGTAAGATCTATAGCAAGAGACAAACAAAGAAATACTCCTCAAAGTGGGTCAGTGTATTTCCTGCTACACTAACAATATAAGAGGAATTTGGCATCAATCATGCATGACATTGAGCATTCGCTACACATTTTGTTTTCAATCAAGGGGATAAAAGGGATCTTCTTTATCATAGACTTTCACAAACACAAACAGTCTGTTGAAGGTTCTGTTAAAAAAGGTTTTTGGGAAACTGTGTTTTTCTGGGCGTACAGTACACACTGCATCAAATCTGGGTCACTCTGCTGCTGCCCACTCACCAGATGTAGAAGATGAAGAGGAATCCAGGTGCTGAGATAGCCAGCTGCAGTTTACGCCAGTCTCTTATGAGGTACGCCACTCCGGCCAGCAGAATGTAGCCAAAGCCGAAGAAGTAGTCAGTGATTATACCAGCCAGCATGCGCTGCTTGGATCCTGTCCATTCAGTGCCTGTACGACACACAAACAGGACAGGGGCACATTTATCTTTAGGAACAAACAGATTTGAGATATCCACTAATGAAACTGTGCTTCTGCCTCTATTTCCTAACCCGTTAATCAGTGACACTATGAATCAGTAAACAGTTATTAGCCAAACAGTTGCTAATGAAAACTGTTGAGTACCTGCAACATTCTTTCTGGAAAGACATGATGTTATTGAGTTTGACTTCCATTCCTCTCCATTGTACTGGGGTGGCAGCATACAATAAGTCCCATAGCAGGATATTTCAAAAGCATGGTAAACAAAACCACACCAATCTGCCTGCTTAGACACTATACTGCATGCTTTGTAATTTTAATTTAATCATAGGATACACATTGCACTGATTGAGTTTATCAATTGTGAAAGCCATAATGATTAAATGTTTCCCAACTTTCTATAAATACACTGACCAAGGACAAAGGCATTCATGATGACACCAGAGATGGATGTTCCAACCATAAAGCGGAGGGCTATGTAGATGTAGAAATTAGGGGCAAAAGCAGCGCCAACCCCAAAGATTGCCTGGGATGCCAAGTTAATGAGGATGATGATCCTCCGACCGTACCTGGAACAAGACATTTCTGAATTTGGTCATTACATGTTAACAAAATATGAAAAATAATGCAAAATTCTACGATGTGAATTGAAAAAGTAACAATTCCAAAAAGTAAGGTAGAGGACAGAACCACGGAATAGGTGTCTCACAATTTCTCAAATATTGCTCTGAAGATGGACAAACTTACTTATCAGCTAAGCTCCCAAACACAATTGCTCCAACTAGGAGGCCAAACATGTAGATGGAGGCGCCCATGTTGTTCAGGTTGGCACTATCACAAACCAGGTCCCACTGCAAGAAGCACAGAAAAGCATTTAAATGAGAACATCTTTCATTAAAGAATTAAAAAATCTATAGCTGCATGAAAATTGTGGGTCAAGAGTGGTGAGACCTCTACTATCTAGATCACCATAAATTCTGGTTTGTATATTCATGTTACCCAGAGGGTGACTCCTATTATTTTTTGTGACCCCCTGACCTTTCAATTTCATTTTCCATGAAAAGGGCAGATTCCTTATTCATACTCCCCAGATAATGAACCATTTCTATTCTGGACACTCCATGTGCACCAACTTGCTTAGCAAACAATTTGCTTAGCACATTCATGCTCCAAAGGGGATAAACCATTTGATTTTAATGACCTCATGACCTTTCTTCTAGCACCGACCTTAGACACATTTTAAATGATAAGCGCCCACTCATTGTAGTTCTATAAATCAAGTTATCATCACTTTGTTTAGTTTAACACTTTAATGTTGATGGAGTAAGAAACACTCCAGCATTTTAGGACCTCTCCTGAGCCTTTGGAGTTTTCATCTTTTTGTAATAAAGCCATGTCCCATGCCTATGCTCCAGGAGTCCATCTTTCAACCATCACCCTCTTTAACCCAGTCTCGGATATCACCAGAGTACACTGTAATTAAACTGTTAAGCCCCTCCATATTTCCTTAGCTGCATGAAGTTTTAATGTTAAACACATCAGGAGAAAATGTAGATATTAGGTCGGTTCAAATCCTGAATTGAGAGCCTGTCAGGGAGGTTGTTTGTATATCACTCACCTCAGTTACTATGGTGCTTTGGAAGGTTTCTGTGCTATACTCCCAGCCCCCTTGGCAGCTCCCTGTAGGGTGCCCATCGCCAACAGCTACAGCACCACTGTGGTTCAAGGGGGTTGCGCAGGACAGTTCGGTTCTGCCATCAGGGGCGGACAAAAGGCTGAGGTTGAAGTTCGAAGAGGCCGGAACGCCCGCTGAGGGCCACGTGGAGCGGCATAAATGTGGAGGAACAGCCCCGGTGAAGACAGAGACCAGCATGTGGAATGCCAGAAAGATCTGAGGTACACAGATCCATACATACAAGATCTTCTGGAACTTCCCAAAGCCCCCAATAAGACAGAGAATTTCATCAAAATTCATTCCTCTGGCTTTTTGTAGATGCACACTTAAAATGTGCCACTCTGCAAATGATCGGTCTGGTTCAGGAGGTCCAAACGTGCTCCTAAGGGGAGCGGCCAAAAATGCTCAGGCAGATAAAGGCAGAGAGCCACACGTCAGTCAAATGTCTAAGATCAAACACTGAAATTAATGTGTGCCAGGCTGGTGATTAACAGGTAGAGAATTAGTATCCTCATTCAGATGCAGTCACATCTGTGTTCCAGTCTGAGAGCAACCTGTGGCTAGTTGTAGTGGACTGTGGAGCTGTCTGAGGGTGATTTAACCTCAGTGTGATGGGAGTGAACTAAAGCAGGAGGGAGGTGTTTGCCCTCTATGGGAGGAGCTGCTGTGTGATGATGACCGTGCAGCTGCTTTTGTCTATTTCCCCGCCCTCTCTCACTCAAAAAGTTTCATAACATAAGATTTATCTTAGGTAACGCATTTTGGCTTTATACCAAGAGTTTGTGGCATAGACTTTTATGGAGTCAAGTAAGAAAGGAGTTCAAAAACACCTTAACGCTGACATAGACTGCTCATTGTCACATTGTTTTTGAGAAAATGCACAAGGTTATATGACCTTTGTATTTCTGCTGTCAGACTTCTTCAGTTGTTCTCAGTGGGACATCAACTCCAGTTAAAGGACATCCACATTCCAACTGGTATTCAGTAATTCATCTGACATGCGATAGCACGTCAGGGAGTGTCTAAACTGGTGACACAAAAGAAGTAGATTAATACAGCAGGGAGGGATGAAGGCTACTCTGGCTACTCACCTAACTAGCTCCCATTTCTTTGCCCTATCAGTTAATCTCATGTGATACCGTTGCATAGTTTGAACACAGGAGTGATTCCTTACTCTGGGTGAGGCTCACACATGTGGCTCGAAGCGGACATTGCGATCAAAACCATTCACAAAACTGGAACAGAGCTCCCAGGCGTAATCTAAGAGGACTGATGTTTGGCATTCTGTGATGAGGTGTGTGGCTCCACTGTGTCTCATACTGTGAGGGGTTTTATGTATATGAGCAGGAGCCCTGTGTCAGCTATCTCAGTTTTACCCAGTTGAGCAGAGACATATCTGTGTCAGTTGTGTCTGCAGTGGAAATGGACGGATATTTGATGGTGAATTCATTTCAACATCATCAGTTAACACAGCCCAAGATAGCATAGAGCCAACCGAGATGAACTAATCTGGACAAATTTTATCAACCACTTAATTTATCAAACACCAGATATCAGGATTTAGAGAGAGTCATGATATTTTGAGAGAAAGAAAGTTAATATTTAAAAAATAATTTGTTTTGAGACAAAAGTCATAATATTTTGAAAAAAAATCTAGAAAAATTGAATATTTCTAGAGAAACGTTTTGAATTTTGAAAAAGGTTGTAATATAAAAACAACGTAATAATTTCAAACATGTCATACTATTTCACGAATAAAGTAGGTTGCTTTGTGAACCAAATATTGCATATTATGGTCAGATTCGGCTGATTGGATTTCATGTGCATTTTAGCATTTCTTCACAAACTGTATCTCTAATGCTGTAACTACCTACAACCCACAATTACTATTTTCAAAGACTCGTGTTTGGACTGCAGTGTCTCGTCCCTGAGCTACATTACACTCCGTCTGAAGACCGACGCCTAGCCTGATTCAGAACTGTCTCTCACAGTCCAGGATGTTTCCCACTGAAAAGCTTAGGGAAACAGATATGTGCTGCACTTTAACAGAAGTGGACAACTTAGCATTTGTGTTTAAAAGAAGCCATTGAATGGTGAGATTTATGCTTTATCAGAGTTGTTTTCAAACTGTTGTATGAGAGAAGAGGCTTCAAGGATCAGCACTTTGTGCCTGGTTTGGCAAATGCACATCTTATTCATTTCCAGACTCCTGATAAAGAGCAGCAAACAGTTAGATCACTACATGTTCTAATCCAGAGATACTCCCAGACAGGGCGACAGGTGTCAGTCTAAACTGGACACGGTACCAGCAGAGCAACAACGTAATGCACAGGCAGGCTGCAACTCATATCATTTTCATAAAGCCTGCTGAGCTTTAATAACTTTCCTGCCATGGATGCACTCCCTTCTGCTTGAGTTACCCACAATTCCCACTGTGCTCCAGCCACTACTCCAAAGCATCATGTAACTTGTTTCATTTACATTTCAATATCTTAAACTTTCTGATTGTATGATGCTAACTGGTTCATTGACGTAACGTCTAACTTTAGATCAACATCACACTTCTGACACATAACTTTTACTATTACTATTAATATATACTTTTTTTCTTGTAAATTTTGGGCTTTCTTCTCTCAATATTGGAACTTCCCTCTCAAAATCTCAATCTTTTTTCCTTCCTTAAAGTGGCTCCTGTCATAATAATGCAGCCACAATTGTAGAAATATTATTTGCAAATGTGTTGACACTGTATCTCAATCAGATTTAGAAACCTTCATAAAGTCACTGCCCTAATTCTCCAGTTGGGTGCTATCAAACCATAGCAGACAGAGAATGCACTGAGATTATGTAATTAGAAGAGGTCCAGTCCAACCTTGAACACTCTAGAAAAACAAGTGGAGAAAGTGATGGAAATATGACATTCCATTTTACTTCATGTATTAATTTCAGGAAGGTTCCAGTGTACTCATCTGTGTACAAACACAGGACTTTCACCCAGGAGACCACTGTTTGTGTCCCATGTGAAATAAAAAGTTAACGTTTTACCTTACATGATGCAACGTACGCTACTTTTTGACGAAGTAATGGCAACGTGACTTGTATCAAGCACCATATTTATTTTAACTTAAATCATCAATAATCTTTTCCTAAACCTAACCCAGTACTTTTGTTGCCTAAACCTAACAAAACTGCAACTGCTTCACAATGTTAACCATGTGTATATAAAGGCGTCTCATACAGATTTAAAGAGGACTTTGTGCTTCTATATGACACCAAGCGGCGTGACAAAGCGGCATCAGTATTTGATGACCTGGGATAGGAATGTGTTTTTTCATCTGGCATCATTTATCTCTTTAGTGGAGCAGAAGTTTCAGTGGACATTTAAGTCACATGCTTTGTGTATGTCATGATTTAACAATACACCAACTTTTCCACGTCAGCAAAGTGTAAAAATGTTTTTTCAAAATTCTGATTTTTTTGTTTTCTAAATTCCTGCTGTTTCCAAGTGGTGCAATGATGTTAGCCTAACTACACATGTACAGATAAAAATCTTAAAGCTTAGACTACAAGAAGACTAGAATGTTACAACATTCCCAAACATTGCTATGCTCCTTTCTGTGTGTGTGTGTGTGTGTTTGTTTGTTTTTGGGGGAGGATAGGCTGCGACTTTTACAACTTCATCTTTATCTCAACTTCCTATCTTAAATTCTTCCGTTTCCCAGGAATGTCACCTTCTTTGCCTGTGTAAAACATCTGATGAAACAAAGCTACAGATCAGCTTTTCCCATATACTCCAATACTCTATCAGTAAAAGTATTATTACGTCTTTATCTAACCCCAGTCAGAGATTATAATTGATCTTTTCGAGAGATATTTTAATAAGACAGATTTGTTTCCTTAATTAGTGAATTTACATCCATATTGACTACAACAGGGCTATGCAATTAACAATTCAATTGAGACAAATTTTAAAATGAGGAAATGTAGATGGGCAAGCCTTTTTGAGCACCTTTTTAAAACTTTTTTTTTTAGCTTTTGGTCACACTAATTGATTCAGGACAGCCAGCATACATTCTTTCATGGTTTGGGAATCTTTGAATGGCCTTTTGCTTTTCTCCTTCTTCCCAAGATCCAGGATACACACTGCTGTAGTTCTCTCTTGGTCTGTGTATGACCGCACCAGGGTAATGCGCCTCAGAGACTCTACAGAGTCCTATTTTCAGTACAGCACTTCCCTACTTGTGACTGTCAATAGCCATATGTTTTTAAAGATCTCGATCTTTGTAGCATGTACATTTGTTCTGAAAAGGAGTGATAGAATGATGCAACTTATTTTTAATACCATTTTTCTTTTGTAAACACAGCTGTTCAAAATCATAAGCCAATGGCAAGATACAGCTCTGTAGAAAGGCCAACATAAAAAGTAACTTTATAATCCAGTTTAGTTACAGTAATGTTCACTGCAACCTACTGTATACTTTCATGGACTGTACACAGTCAATTGCAATATATGCTAAGGTGCAAACTATTGACAGTACATATAACGGACAGAGCTTCTGGGTCTGTAAAGTGAAGCAGACGAAGTGTCTTAAGCCTGCATTCTATGTAAAGGCCAGAAGGGGGAGCTCCATTGGCTGGAACAAAACACTGATACCATGCAGACTTTTGGAGAAATGAGCCGACTTCTCACTTGATTTATTAGCTCAGTAAACAGTTTCCTAATGAGTTTATGGTATCAATCTCTAGTTTCAGTCTTCTTCCATACAGCATGATGTTCATACTGTTAGTAAAATGATGGTCCCATTTAGAGGGAGGGGCTACCTTGTGATTGACAGGTCGCTCTCAGGGAGTCCGTCCAGCTCAACGCAGCAAACTCAGATTATACTGTCAAACTAGACAGTGCTGATCAGATACAAAGCAAGATTCTGTTACTGAGTTACAAATGTCTCGCCTAAAATTGTTTCAGACAAATTACATACCTGTCTAGAAAAAGAGGGCCAATTCCTGATCGGTTCTGAATGCTTTCAAATCCCTAAATTTTCTCCATCCATTGAATGACTGACCAAGGTTGACTCATGTTTTCACTCGTGATCTGTCCCTTTTAGCTTTTTTTTAATTTTGCTCTTTGGTCATTTCTTTTGTTTTTCACTTTTACTAACTTTAAGCAACTGAGTTAAAAGCTGCGTGAAAGCTGCATGCTGCCTGTTACGTTGCTCCAGCCAAATCATTTCCCCCTGGGATTATTAAAGTATTTCTGATTCTGATTCTGAGTTAAAGTCTTAACATCTTTCTCCACCAACACTCTAATTGGTGGAGGGGATTTGAGAAATTCAATTTTCCCAGCTAAATGTCTCCTGGAGAAACTGTTTCTTGGTCGTGTATACAGTACTTGTTGTCAGACTTTTTACATTTGAACAAGTGAAGGCCGGCTTCTTACCCTGCTTTCGAGTGAAGCCATTCAGAGCTATAAACACCTTTACCTTCAGACGTGGATGTAAAAACTAGTTTCTTTGAATGTAAGGAACCCTGTGAAGACAGAGCACAAGTGGCACCATGCATAGACTGCATCTGTGAGAAACTAACCCTGATGATGTCATCTGGGTTTTCTGTGCCCTTACTGTATATAACCTTTTGACAACAAATTCATAACAGAAGGCCTCTGTTACAAACTGGGAACAAAGTTTTAAAAGCCCCATTATGTAACGTTCTATGGTCAGAAATGGAATATAATATTTATAGGTATGTTTTCATGTGTGTATAATCACCTGGAATAAATGTTGTTACCTGAGAATGAGCTGTTTTTATTTACGGACCTGTGGGTTGCCATGTGTCTACAGTAGCCCAGAACGGACAAAGCAAACACTGACTCTATATAGGGCTTTTTGTGTGTTGCAGCCACTACAGTTTCTCCTACACACTTGACAGCCCATTCTCATTCCCAGGTCCTTAAATACAAAGACGAGTAGTATTCAGTTGAGAGAGACTAAGACTATGAGTCTACAGCCATGCTACCAGCTCTGTGAGGCTGTACTAAGCCACAGCGGTGCTTTATGCTAATGCTAACTTGGCAACATGGCCATAATAACAATGCTAATATGCTGATGTTTAGCACATTTATTATTTACCATATTAATTTATTTGAGCATGTTTTAGGATCCATCTTTTAGGGACAATGAAGTTGACAAATGTGTACAAAATTTGATAGCAATCCAGTCAGCAGTATTTCCTATTCATTGCCATCCATTGAACCATGCTGCTAGCGTGGCTAAAAATTGAACACTGGTTGATAAATCAGCAGATTTCTCAAATATTGATATTAGCCTCAATAATTAAGTATTGTGTGGGCTCTCATTGTTGGTGGCCGCGCAGTAATATTAGTGGGTACGCAGGTTTTTTTCTGGTCTGTCCAAATGAATTCTCAGAGGGGCGTTGGCTTTACGTGGATGGAGGTGGTGGGCTGCCTCTGAGAGGGACCTCTTTACTCAGTGTCAATAATAATGGAATGTGAGCTCAAATACATGTCAGTCCACATTAAGTGGGACCATACAGCTTAGGCACCATATTAAACAAACAACATACAGTGAACGCATTTAAAAACTAGAATTCTACTCATGAATTCAGCTTTTGTTCATTAAAGAATTAACTACAGTATTTCTTGCAATCTTCGCTGCTGAGTGCTATATAGTAGCCTGTAACACAAGGTTTACAGATTTAACTGTTAGTTGCACTCAGATAATTGTGAGCCAGATCCGCAGACTAAGAATAAACAAGTGGGCAGGACTTGAAGGCCTTGGAGCGGCCCAGCAGTTATGAAGACAAATATTTCCCCTCTGGATCAGTAAGGCGGGGAAAGGTGTGTTTGGAGAGGAGACAGAAGGGTGCTTTGTCCCCTTCTCCGACAGGTCAGCTCCCCCAATCTCTTCCCCTCCATTCCTCTCTCCCTCTGCGTCTGCCAGTCTTCCTCCCTAAATCCCACCTTCCAGCTCCCTCGTCCCCCTGCGCCCTCCTGGAGCTCACACAAACCTTCTCACTTAAGAGATGCTATCGCTTCTCTGCCGTTCCCTCCTGCTCATCCTTGCTCAACAGGTAAGAGGAGCATTATCTTTTTCTATTCTAACACCACAGGTAGACTGGGGTTTCTGATATGACAGCACTTTAAGGCACTAAACACCTGCCACATATGGAACAACAGGAAAATAAACAACTGAGTTGTTTAGGTGTTCTCAGTAGCGGAGCACCCAGCTATTTAAAATGTACTTTATATTGACAAAAGACATTTAACAAAAAAAAGGACTTCCTTTCATTATTGATTTGCCTTTTCATTATTAGACTCATTTTTAGACTTATTGGTAATGTAATTTATGTGGCTCAAGCTTAGTCTTTCTTTCAGGAGTAAAGACTGGCAAAGGGGAGCAAAGTCTGAGGACTTTGTATTTAAAGCTCCTGTGGACCCATTTTCACACCATGAAATGAGCTCATTCAGTAAACCTGGCAGACAGGCTTCAGATTTTTGGCATAACCTTCAGTGACCCTTCGAAGCACTGAGTAGTCAGGGGAATTGAAGCACAAGTGGGACTATGCATAGACTGCATCAAAGCAAATACAAAGCAAAGTAAAAATATTAGGGCTACAGGACTAAACACCAGAATATACACTCGTGGCTATTTGCCTCAATTTACACCTAAATTCTCCTCTCCTTCTTAATATATGAGGAGCTAAGCTGAAGGTTTACAACACTTTGATAGACATTTGAACATGGCTATCAACTTCATGTTGCTTTTTGCATTTTTATGCCAGTTGTTTTACTTTTTAAATTCTTGTAACTGACAGTAGAAAGTTAAAAGAAACATGAGGCGAGAAATGGATGGCATGCCCTTGTCAGATTTAGTATCATAATAAATCACAACTGTGATGTGGCATAGAAAGGTCTGATTCACAAAGACACCCATTACTTACTTTTCATTAAGCCCTTGTGTGGTTTTCTGGTGAAAATTCTCTTGAAAATGAAGCCGACCAGCAATAACTTAAATGCTCCAAGAAGAAAGTCAGCCTCTGGCACAGTCTCAGGCTCCATATTTAGTTATGCCAACATTTCACTATGCCCATTTACTGTATGGTGTATTATATATACTATATCACTACTCTCTGCCAACAATCCCACAATGCAATATGTTGCATTTTACAGATGCAAAGATTTGGGGACTCTATGAAGATGTGAGATATAGAAAGTGTCAAATCACAATTTACTGCTTAGAGTACACTACTGCCTGTTAGATAGGGAGTAATGAATAAGTGATCTGACTAACCCTTGCATGCAGCTCTGTGTGAGAAAGTAGACCTACTGCCTTTCAAGTACAGCAGCACAACAGGGTCTGAAAACTGCACAAAGTCAATATTAAAATACAAAAAATGGGAAAAAATTTTCTGTGGAACAAGATACAAGGAGCAAAATTCAAGTAGGTCAACTAGTGCACACGTGCCCTTAAATCAGTGCCCTGCACTAATCAATCATTTTATACCAACAATGGAACAAATGACTATGTGTAACAAGAAAGGGGTTGCTTGGTGTGACAAAGCCACAGAGAATGATTACTGACTCTTTGCAGTTCCTCTCAGCTCTCTTAGAATCTTTTAACTCATTGTTTTTAGCCTGGGAACCAGATTCATTTGTGAGTTCATGTTCTATTCTCTCTGCTCTGGCAGATGTACCTGGTCGTCTCCTGTTCAGACATTTTTCTAGCCAACCTAAGTGAAACCCCCAGGGCTTTTGTTGTTCCTCTACTGGTCACCCTCATGGAGGAACAATTTAGGGACAAGTGTATTCACGATGAGGCAGAAATCTGCAGCGGATGTTGCCAACTTTTATTTGGTAGTTCAGCGTCCTGGCTGCTGAACAGCAAGAACAGAGATTAAAGTGTCCATGGTTTTCCAAGAAAACCTTTTGGGTATTGTCATCAAACCCCCAGGAAGAGTGCTGGGCTTTAAAGCCATGATTACAGCAATGGTGTCCATGATGTGATGCACACTGGCCCTAAAATATTTTTTCTATTAGCTCACATTGTGACAGAATTAGCTCTAAAATGGTGGATACGTTTTTTTTTTAGCGTCAAAAGCCTAGAAAAGCTGCACGATCCCCGTTTAAGTTAGCATTGGGCTAAGCTGGAGGTTATCGGCTCGGCCGTGCTCAGCTGGCAGAAGTCTCTGGTGTGTTTGCTCTATGTGCCCCGCAATGCGGAAACATATGCGGAAGATTGCATCTGCGGTTAATTTCCTTTGCTCATGCGCCACTCAGCAGCTTCCATAAGACTGAACTTCAACATTGTATCCAGTTCTACCTTAAGAAATCCATGATTGTCGTGGAGGAAGTTCACATTATGTACAAATGGTAAGTGTTACGCTACTAAATCACATCAGGCCAAACATCTGTCTTGAACTAGAAGCCAAATGAATTGGATGTTGAAGCCAGCTACTTAGCCTATTAGCCTACCAGTTACAGAAGCTAGCTTGCTAGTAGTCGTAGTGTTGGGTTGATGACATAACAACGCCAATACAAACTAAGCAGCAGGCTGCGATTCATGCTGATCTTTCTATTAACAATAGTAGTAGCTAACTAGCTTCCCTAAAGTACGATCCAATGGGATCTAACAAGCTTACATACAAGTTGACTGGTAAGTTAACGGCCTCTGGAGTTCTCCTGTCTATGCCTCGGAGCACTGAAATTGACTTGCTAACATGCCTATCATGTTCATTGTTTTTTACTAAAGAGGATAGCTACAGTAACATATACTTACAATAATCATCTTGGGTAAATACACACTGTTGTCTAGATGTTACTTACAAAATTCTCATGAACAGATAATACATGGCTTTGTTTTTTATGCGGTGTTGCATTAACTTGTCTTTCAGATCAGGAGCAGGGGTGAAGAAGCAATTGCATTTAGAGAATGCAACCCCTGCAACATTAAGCTTTTACTCCAGTGTGTGGTCATATGTGGGATTGGATTGAGGGAGGTTAGAGACAAAGGCCTTTCCATGTCTCCAATCCTTGTTTACTGGCGAATATTAAAGGTTGTTAGAGTATTCTGTTATTGCAAAGCAGAACCAGGTGAAGATGCTTGGGTTTGCAAAGACCATGAACATAAGACTGAAACCTACCTATAGGCATGTTTCATAGCCAGACACTCCCTCTGGACAAAAGCAGAGTGCTGTCACTAGTTATTGTAAACAGCTCTTGGGTTGGGATTCAATTTTCCCAACGTATCACACGTGGTGATGTACGGTCTACCAGAGGAGGATTAAGCTATTGTTCAGCACGTTGGCAGCAGAGCATGTGAAGTGGAGTGGTGACAATTTTTCCTCGTCAATCACAGAGCTATTTGTTCGCTCCGCTCCCACGGTCAAGGCCAGCAGGATGAGCAGATATGGGTTTCGGTCACATGCTGTTGTTAATGCTATCAGTCTACGAGGATTGATAGGGTAATTAGAGCATTGCTTGAAACAGGTAGAACTTGCTTAAAAAGCCTTGTACAGTCAGTTCAAAGCTTCAAACCCGGACAGCGATTGCCGATTGTATACATCTGAAAGTACAAATTGTTGCAACAAAAGGTTTCTACTAATGTTAAATGTAGAGAGGTACAATCTGAAGACTATGTTTTGATCAGGGACATGTTGGAGGACTACTGCGGTTCAGAAAAACGTACATCTGCACACCACCAAGACAGCCTGCACTGAGTTTGGCACTGACATTATTGATTCTGTTATAAAAGACACTTGGCCTACATTATTCAGGCATTATACTACAACCAAGAGACATTCTAAAAATATGTGAGTTACTTTATGACATTGACAGCAGTTAGTTTATTTCCCGTCACAATAGCTTTTCTCTGCCAGATAAAGATTACTTTGACTTTGATTAGGTTGACCAGGTACAAACACTACACAGCAGCTCTAAATCAGGCTCAATATCGAGATCCACAGACTACATCTTAATGGATGCACACACTTAGGAACAAGGGTGGGAGTCTAGTACAGAATATGTGGCATTGTTGTTTAAGCATAAGACACTACAATGCCTGTGTGGAGTAGGGATGGAGAGATTCACCGATTTGAATCGGTGGTCCGAGACAGATGTTTGCTATGCGAGAGCACCGGCAGCTTCAGTGTGCATCGGATACAACTGCCGGCTAAATGCGCAATGTATCTTTCTTTGCGTGTCTGCATCGGTAAAACCCATGGTTACATCGATTATTACATAGTTTATCTCCTCTGCACCCGTGTTTTCGAGGCGCCTTGAACACACCATCACTATCTTTTTGCAGTTAGTAAACAGAAAAAATGGAGGGAAGCGACACAACAGGTGAAGAGGAGATATTAAGCATACCTTGGAAGACACACAAGTCCAAAGACCTCTAGTTGATATACCTCAGTGTGAGTGATGTTTACAGTTGCTGTGGCTGTCAGTCAATGGCTGGTTCTATTTTATGTTTTCCTAAATAAATGACTGATTACATGTGAGACGTTTTATCACTTGTTCATTCTGAATGCATCTGGATCACGCTGGCATAACTGATGCTTGTGTTATTGGTGTGTTTTAATTTAAAAGGTGAACAATATATGTGGTTATTACGGAATATACTTTTAGTAATGAAACATAAATTAAGTGAGAACTGAGCAGAAAACTAGCACTTAAAATGTTTTCTAACTAAGAAACATAGTGAAGATAAAAACAAATACATTTGAGCAAAAGATGAGGAGAACATTGAATTACAATTATTTTAAACAAGGTTTGAAATATTATGAATGTAAAACTATTTACAGGACAGTGCTGCCATCATATATTCACACTGTATATATACCTGACAAGTGAAGCTCTTCCATCTTTCTCCAGACATTGCTGTTTGTGCCAGTCGCTCCCCCGAGGTGTCCACCTGTGTCCAGCAGCATTTTGCCTGTATCTGCTTCTGAGTTCAGGAACACTGGCCATTTTGCTCAGCCTTTGAAAATAGTATGCTGTTTGGATAAAAAGCAAAGGCTGGAAGGCAGGGTCTCTTCCTCTCACAGCTATAGCAGCTGCAGTGCAAGTAATGGAAGAGAATGGTTGGTGGTAGCTGAAAAGATGGATAACAGGAACAGTGAGATACGGTTGCAATCTGACTCTGATGAATTAGCTTTAATAATTTTAACTTTGATATTTTCCACAAGGTCCTTGTGCCTAAATATCAAGCCAGTTGTTTTCATCATCTGGATGGCAGACCCTGCCAGCCATTCTGTTTGATGGGTAATGGGTGATGACCTGAAAGACAGAAGTTCATCGATATGTGTCTCGCTGTGACATTTGTCAGTCTGAAGGATTGATATACACTGATACTGTGATCTAATACTGAATGTTACATATGTTGTGGTGAATTTGATGTATTAAGTTGCTGATGCAAGATAGCATCCAGCCTACTCTTCCAGTGCATGAAAGAGGGATACATTGAGTCCAGTACAACCATCATCCTTGCATTCTCCAGAGTCACTACCCTACCAACCCCCATAACAGTCACAGCAAAGGAGTCTCACTGCGCAACCCCTGTATCTGCTAAGGCATGACAGGTCACAGCAAGGTACTCTTTGCTCAGGCCAAGGAGAGCCACAAAACTACACTGCCCATCCACCACATCGGTTGACATCATCATGCCCATAGTAAAAAGACACTATTCACACTAACAAATCAGGTGCAGTAGCTTCTCTGGTCATGCTTCTTCATTTTAACCGGATTGTTTTTCTTCTTATTATTATTTTGGCAAAGTCAATGCTGGATCAACAAGTTTATTAAAAACGACTTTGGCCTTTCCTGTTTTTTTCAAATATTTGAATAGACTAATAACTCCTTGTATTTTCAAATTCTCATGTAAAAAATAGCAACACTCATTCAGACTAGGGCTGTGTATTGGCAGGAATCTGGCAATATGATATGCATCAGGATACAGGGGTTACAACTCAATATATTGCAATATTTTGTGATACTCTAAGCAAGGTGATATATTGCTATTTTTAAATACTATTTAGGAAAACTGTCATAGTACAAAGAATATACAATATACAATATATTTTTCATGCAACCAGAACACCGGGATCTGCACTGTATTTATCACAGTCACTGTAACATCCAACATCACAGCACTGTTAGCAAACAGTTGGGGATTTAAACACAAAATGCAGATACAGTATTTTTGAGAATCACTACAATATCACTTGCCATATTTTCTTGTACCCCTAATTCAGACATATCAATGAATTTTGGTCTGCCCCCATGAGAATGCCTAAGACCAGACTAATTTGCCTCTTCAACTTGGCACATCAACTTAACATTACTATTATTTGCAGACGTCAGTCTTAGAGCTGTAACCTGATTGTGCTTCCCACAGTTTACACTGGTGTGTTTCCCTTTTCATGACCAGAAGGTTAATTCTGTTGCATCTGCTATTCAAAGACTGCTACATTATTTCCTACTCCCCTACTCTCTTATGTTCATACTGAGGACATACATCATTTAAAAGACTGGTTACAATTGTTAAGTTTTACTTGGTTTCATAATTCCTGAAACTGGTCACTATAGCTGTAGTACTCACTCTGGTGCGTATTTGGGGCAGCTTGTCATAAATCCATTGTTGGATGCAATTTGTTTCACATTGGAGAAAGGGGTCAGAGGAAAGATGCCTGTAGAAGGGAGGGATGATTGATGATTCTACAATCCTGATCTGGAATCTTTCTTGTTATTGCCAAACACATTTATTAAATACCTGACAAGAGAAAATACTTTGGTTCACTGTTATACAATCAGCAGTGTTTATCACGCTGTCTTATCGCACTGCAGTGGAACACAGTGACCACGTCAGGGTCCAGTTGTGAGGATGTCAAATGGGTGGAACAGTGAAGCTGTGGAGCATCTTCTGTTCTCGGACTGTTGTATACAAACACAAACCCTGCTTTTTACAGCTAAGCTCAGATAGCTAAGGTTGTAAAAGGAAGAAGCGAAATACAGGTTCAGCAAGGTGGTGAGAGAGGCTTAACAACGGCAGTAACTGACCCTGGTTCTGAACAATGGGACAGTCCTGACACCATCCCCCGTGACTCCAACCACCAGCTCTTCCTCCCAGGACCTTAAGGCGAGCAGGAAAGATTGTGGCCAACCCCTCCCTCCCACCCCTCAACACAAACTTTCTGAGTCACTCCCCTCCGGCAGGGGGCTGCGGTTATTCACAAAACCTCACACCACAAGAACAGTTTCTTCCTGTCAGCAGCTGGCCTCATCAACAAGGCCCGTGAGCCCCACTGACACGGACTCTTACTATCAGTCAGTTTTGATACCCTCTAGTTATGCTTCTTGACTTTTGCAGTACTCATTTTTTATATCTTTGATTTTCTCTGTTTATTGTTATGCACCAAATCAAATTCCTTGTATGTGAAAATCTCATTGACAAACAACCCTGAGGAGTGGATTGTGTACTCGTAACTAGTTAGAGAACTCATAATCTGACACAGATTAGGATATGAGAGATCTTTCTCTCACTCACCTGTTGTACTCTGATCTGACCTAGAGTCTGAGAAGGCATTTTGTTATCTTGGGGTGTCCCAGTAAGCTTTCTGCAATTCAAACAAACTACCTCATAAGATGCTCTGACTGGCCAAGTTCCAATGTAGCTTAATGGGGAGGTGGGAGGGATAAGACTGGACTACATGGGAATGAAGCCCTTTGACAAGAATCCAACTGCCAACAATATGAAAGTTTTGGTTGGAATAAACATAGTGAATACAATATAGACAAACTACTATTCTCAGAGCATTATAAATAGTGGGGTGGCACTAAAGGTCGACCCTAGAGGCTCAGAAACGACTAGTTAGATTGCAACTAAACAACTAGTTTGAACATAAAGTCATAACTAAGGCAAGTGACCAATCAATTATCAAAGATAGAGTTCCATCGCCATGGTTACCATGTGCATTAGCTTTCTGGCTAGCATGAGCCACTTGGCTTTAAAGCACACTGAAATATAATATCAATAAATTAGGTCTTTACTCGATTACTGTGTTGCACAATGGCTGCAAGGAAGTAATGATGCTGTGTGGCAGAAAAACTGCTGTTTTACCATCAGTGAGTATTATTCTGTGACATTTGATGATTTACACCACCTTAGGGGCATGTGTAACCATTTAGTTTGTACTTGAAGTTATGTTGTAACTTATCTCTGTGGCGCAACCACTTCTATTTTAGAAATGCATAAATCACAACTAAGTAATAATTTACATTATAACCACGCTAACACACAGCTGGTGTGCACACATAGGCTGAAGGTTCTCATGGTTCTCTTGGGGGCATGAATGTGCTCATCACAATCTGTGCTAGATTATGAGGTATCCTATATGCAAGCTTGACATTTTGGCCTGAGAGTGGGACGAGAGGAAATCAATCTTTGAGATACCCTGTCATATATCCAAATCTTGGATCTTGGAGGGACGTTGACCTGGTCTGATCTGGGCCTCCAAAATCATTAGCAATCATCAGGCAAACATGTTGTTTGCTCTCAGTTCTCAAATGTCATGCAGTCAGATGCAATACGTACATAGATGTAGACAAAGGTGTTACAGTTTGTCCATTTAACATTTCCTACTACATACTGAATACAACTCACCAAGTCTAAATTCAAAGAGGTGGCATTAAGGTTTGGAGTAAGCTTGGCAAAACAGAATGAAGCAAAATACAATACAAATGTGGATTCTTTTTTTCTCAGAGATATTTGGTGTACGATGAGCACTTTTTTTAAATTAAATTTGCTAAAAAAAAAAAATAAAAAAATAACATTTTTCACGTTGTCATTATGGAGTATTGTGTGTTGAATTTTGAGGGGGAAATTTTTTTTATCCATTTCGGAATAAGGCTGTAACATAACACAATGTGTAAAAAGTGAAGTGCTGTGATTACTTTCCGGACGCACTGTAAGCACACCGAGCCAAACGCACGTTCTCTGTCCTCCTCACCCAGTGCTTCAGCAGGGCTCAGAACAATGGGCAGCTGGCTCAGAGAGATGGACGGGCTGCGGCTGAGAGGAGGCAGTTCTGCCAGTGGCCCTGCAAATGTCGGGAAAGACCTCACTGTGCCCCGGGGGTGAGCTCCGTCCTGGACGGGTGTGGCTGCTGCAAGAGCTGTGCCAGGCAGATTGGACAACCGTGCAATGAGAGGGACGTCTGTGACCCACACAAGAGCATGTACTGCGACTTCTCAGCGGACCAGCCAAGATATGAGGTCGGAGTGTGTGCATGTGAGTGGCTCTCATCTTTTCTTAAACTAGTCATGATAGGGTGGGTAAATTCAATCATTTTCTGTTTCGATCTAAATATCGTACTTCCTTACGCCTTGGGCAGCGTTCTGCATGCTGTTACCAGATGTTCAGATTGAAAGTATATGTACATGTTGATTAAATGTATTTGATACAGCTGTAGCCTACTTAAAGCCAGTGTGTAACATTTAGTAGGATCTACTGGCAGAAGTGGAATATAATATTCAAAGCTATGTCTCTTATAGTCCATAATCAACTGAATGTAAGAATCTTAGAATGAGCTGTTTTTATCTCTTCTATGGAGACGGCCATGTTGAACCTCCATGTTTTTACACTAGCCCAGTACGGACAAACCAAACACTGGCTCTAGATAGGGGACTTTCATGTTTTTATCTACAGAAATCAACTTCACTGCTAGATGCCACTAAATCCTACACACAGGTTCCCTGTGGAGAGCTTTAGCATACCACTGGCCCAAAAAGCTATTTTCCCATACAAAATCTTTGGAAAAGGAGGGGCTATAAATGGTGAGTACATGTTTCTGAGCACCACAAACCCCTCAAAATGACTCTTAGTATTATCAGAATTTGATCTAATTGGTCCAGTAACATTTGGAAAGAAGAACAGTAAATCATTATGTGTACGAGGAGCCAACAGGAAGATTAACGGCTTGACAAGGACTCAAAAAACACGGATGCATAAAGAAGCCAGTGAAGGGCTTTTCTGGCATATGCACCTAGTGAGTGACATCTTTAATGTGGAATCCAGTTTGCCCTTAATACATGGGTGCTGTTTTTTTGAGAGCTTTTTTTTAAAGCCACACATCCTGGACAACAGTTCTTTCTTCTTTTTTTATTACCAAAGATAAATGGGGCACACTGTTAGCTCACCTGGTAGTTGATGCCCCATGTACCATGGGTTTGACTTTGACCTGTGGGCTTTGCTGCATGTCATCCCCTCTCTCCCCCCTTTCCTGTCACTCTACAGCTGTCACTGTCAATTAGAGGCAAAATAATATATGGAAAAAAACCCTCAAAAATTCAGAACATGATTAGACCTATTTTAAATATAACTAAATTTGGTTCCTAGAGCACACCAACAGTAAAGTCACTATAAACTCAATATCTAATTGGAAACAGAAGTTAATAAAGAATGAAGAAAACCAAACATCAGGCAGTATCAGTCATTCCTCCTGTCCTCTGCTGTGAGTCAGAACCTGCTGGTAACGCTGCAGAGAGAGGGGGGGGACAAATTTTAAGGTACATGGCAAACTAAGCCAAACAGTGAGACTACGTAGATGTTTTTACATAAGAAAAAAAATGTCCTGAGAATGAGGTTGGGACACCCCTCGAGTCCAAAACCCCTCCCTGTGGACACATACCTTCAGACAGAACAAATAATTCACTTTTGACGCAAATCTGTGTAGATGGAGCTCTTGCACCCACATTAATAGATCCATGGTATAGACCAGGCGCATTCCACACATGTTTTTCAGTCCACCACTTCACACACTACACATAACAGACTCACATTTCAACCTGCAACCTGAAGCGTGCTTTTAGCCTTAAAGTCTATTTCCTTCTAGCTTATCTGTGTAAATACAGGGATTGTGTACTGGGCTGTGAAACAACAGCACTACAATAAATATGTACAGTATATTACAAAACATTGATGTGTACATTTCCACATTTCCATTTACTTTTATTGTATGAATTCATACAGTTCTGTAAAGAGATTATTGGCAGATTGTATTTAAATCTGGTGCATTTGAATTGTCGTGCTCATAATGGACTCAATTATTCGGAATAAATGTAACTGTATGGGCTAACAACTAAAACACAGCAATTATGATATTAAGTTAAGAGTCACAATTCTGAATATTTAATACACCATCAAAAAAAGAGATCACAATGATTTGATATATTTATAGTACTTTCACGCTCCTTTTGCTTCCTGTCAAAATAATTGTGTGATAAAGTTCTTGGATCAGCCAAATGTATTTATGTAAAAATCTTACACAGCTTTTAAGATTCACAGTAACATCAAGAGAGGTGCATTGCCAGCATCAGTGCCTACCAGAGCCCCGCCATGTTTCCCTCTTTCTTTCAGACCTGATGGCAGTGGGCTGTGACCTGAATGGGGCCCACTATGAGAACGGGGAAGCTTTCCAGCCCAGCCCCCTCTATAAGTGCACATGTATTGCTGGAGCCATCGGCTGTACCCCTGCTTTCATTGAGAAGCCTGCCAGTCTCTTAGGCCCCGCCCCGCTGATGGGCAACATGCCAGCTGGCCTTCGCAGTGGCCAGAGCCCAAAGAAGCACCAGCAGGACACTGCCTACATGTCAGGTGTGTTTATAGAGTAAACTTGTGGAGAAGGGCCAGCCTCTCCAGCCTGGAATGCTAATTGCTGTTCAGGTTATCTGGATGGGGAAGCAGAGTGGGCCTTTCATTACTGTGGCAGTGTGAGCAGAGGGGGGGGGAGTGAGGTGTGGCTGGCTGTGGTTAGACTGCCTCACAGAGGAACACAGAAAAACGAATGGTTCCAGTTATAAACAAGAGCAGGGACAACTCAACTTTTATTAAAAGCATCAAAGATTCCACTTTGCTGTAGCAGCATAGTTTGTTTGCTTTGCTTGGCATGAAAGAAAATATCATGATGTGTTGCATTCAGGGAAACACTAATTCAATTTGTCACTGTGGAAAAACTGAGCACATCGTTTAGATTTAAATATCAAGAGCTGACATCCACGCAAGGTCACAGAAAGCTTTTTGGGAGGTCTAAAATGTCAGCAAGAGATCTGGCAATGTATTCCTTCACTGAAAAGCAACTGGTTCTTTAGTTTTAATATATTGATATCAGTGAAGTTAGTCCAGCAGAGTGTGCTGTGATTTACAATACTGTGACAAGCAGCACACAGTAAGAGAGAAGAAGAGAGAAGAAGCCGCTCATCATAAGGGTGTAACAATGATTCAATACATTTTATAATACTGAGTTCACAATATGATTTTTTTTTAACAGAATGAGACTGAAGATAAATTATCACTGAAAAAGATTTTCTATAAAATATATTTTCTCTTTTATTTTCTTTAGCAAATTCTAGAATGTGTTTTTATTTCTGAGATAGGATTTAAACTGTGCCAAACAATGTATATTTCCTTTCTTTGGCGTCTTTGCACCTTGATACCAAAATTGATAAGATTCATTTGGAATTCTCACATATCTATATTGCGTATAACTGTCTTGGGATGTATATGTTAAATTATTATTTAACTTAAATATTCTAAATAAAGTTATTTGTTGAAAGCAGCTTTCTGGGTATGTTTGCTGAGTAATAACTACGCAAATATACACATAGAAGTGGAATATTGGCCGTCATATTGGTAATCTATGGTGTCCCCTCTAAAATTGGTATCAGTCTCAAAAATCCAATGTCAGTTGGGTTCTAAAGGAAACATTTCACATTTTAGGAGCTTATACAACTGGTGGCAGAAAAAGAATGATCTTGTGGTATTTGAGTCTTTTGGTTGCTCTGCTTGGCAGTGCAGTGGCAAACAGACTAGTTCTTTGTGTAGGGTATTGTTGACACAGTGCCCTTTAACTGTAATACTGAAAGCTTACAGGGATCCTCCTTTAGCCTGGAAGAAGAACTGTCTGATCCAGACCACCCCCTGGAGCCCCTGCACCAAATCCTGCGGTCTAGGCATCTCTGTGCGGGTCAACAACGACAACGGCAAATGTGAGATGAGGAAGGACCGCCGCCTGTGTCTGCTGCGACCGTGTGAGAAGAGTGTGATGAAGACTGTTAAGGTGAAGTACTATTTGAGCATTGAAAAAGTTTTATATAATACCAAAAATATACTGATAAAATCACTGTTTTCTCCAATAGGTGCCAAAGGGAAAGACATGCCGGCCTAAATTCCAAGCAAAGAAAGCAGAGAAGCTAACACTCTCTGGCTGCACCAGTACCAAGAAGTTTAAGCCCACGTACTGTGGTGTCTGCACAGACAAGCGCTGCTGTGTCCCCAACAAGTCACGCATGATCAAGGTCAACTTCACGTGTAAGGGAGGCTCCAACACACAGTGGAAGATGCAGTGGATAACGTCCTGCGTGTGCCAGAGGAAGTGTAATGATCCAGGTGACATGTTTTCTGACCTGCGGTTGCTCTAACGGAATCCATCCAGAGACAGACACAGGAGACGAGCCCTGCTGGGACAGACTAAGGACTGAAATGCATAGTTTGGTTATTAAGCTATCCACAGCAGTGGCGATGTGCCTCAAAAAATCTCAAAAAAGACAAAACTGAAACTACACAACCTCATTTCATAAGGAAGAGTGGCTGGGATCATTAAATTGATGAAGAAATACGTTGTAGTTATGATAAAAGCTTTTATGAACCCCGTCTTCAGGACACATATGTGCAATAACAACAAGGAGCATGGCCAGTGCAGTAGCTGTAACAGCAGACTCATTAACAGTACCTCATATTATTATGGTCAGGGAGCCAAATCAGCTCATACTACAGATTGAGTTAAACTCTTTTTACATGTTGTTCCTGCTTATTTTTTCAGACAGGGAAACATTTAATCAGGTCATAAATTAGACAATATTGATATATAACTTATAAAAGGTATATACAAAAGACTTGGTTGTGTGAAGTCATTTTTTGAAAAACAATCATTGCTACAGAGAGAAAGCTACACAACAGAGTGGACCTTCATCTGGCGATGCTGAGTCTGGGTGCGTCAGGCATGAGTCTCCCTTTGGTGGCATCTAGATGGTGGTACTCCTCAATCAGTGAGCTCAGAGAGTTGGTGGCCTCTGAGAAGAAGCTCTGCTCCATCCCTTCTACTTGCAGGTAGTGGTGTAAGTGAGCCTTCAAAGAACACAGAAAGAGTACAAGTGTGCTGTAAGGCATTAAGTCTGAAAGTATTTCAGTGTGGTTTAGACTCCTCCATCACACTCTTTAAAGAAAGCATGTGGCAATATGGAAAACCAAAAAAAAGGTTCTTAGCAAGCAAGCAATATTACTATTATGTATTTTCTCATGAAATGAGACGAGTGGGCAAAGGCCTTTTCCACCAACAGGGAACCTGCTCCATTCCAGTTTGCGCAGCAAAGAAGACCCAAAGTGGGCGTGTATTCTGCAGTTCGTTGTGCATTGTGAAACACCCTCCATTGATAATGCATCCTTGATTACAATGGTTCTGGTGGGCTGGTTCAGTAGATAGCATCAAAGTTCCAAGAAACTTGAACAGAATTCAATCAAGAACCAGAGCTAATTTGGCAGGAAAACACTTTGATGACAGTGAAAAAGTGTATTCGTTCCTGTAACCTTTACCCTCATTTTAAATAAAGATAATAATAAATTGGAAATTATACATATGCTTTCACTAGGATTATAACTAATGACACCTTCCATTGATTACATACAGATCAATTAATGTAGGTATTATTTTTTCAATTAATTGTCTATTTGTCTATAGCAGTGAGATACCAGTTAATTGGGCGACTGATTATCTGGCATTTTGAGATATATTTTGAGACCACAAGTTATCAAAAAACCAAAAGGAATTGCATTTTCTCTGATAAGTAGTGGAGAAAAGAAAGAAGAATGAATTCTCACATTTGACAAGGTGTAAGCAGAGTACATTTTATGTTTGATAAATGATAAATTAATTTGCTGAATCTTCTGATGGTCTAAAAACATGGAATGGCTTAAAATTCACCTTCTTCCTGTAGAGCTTGGTAAAGCGGTCTCTCAGCTCCATGAATGTAGGCTTCACACAGGTGTTGTTGGCCAGCGCTAACAGGGAGTGGGAGTGACCCACAGGAGGCACTGAACACAGGCCTGTCTTCCAGCCCTCCTGGTTCCACGAGACAAAGGGCAGCGAAGGCTTCAGTCTAGAGCAGGGAGAAAATTACACAAATTCATGGGGCACACGGGAAGACATTGTACATTTCACTGGTGTAAAAATATACAAGAATCTTGGTTACACTTATAACAGCACCGTTTGTGCGATCATTCTATCTTGGGACTAGAAGAGATTTGTAGAAAACAATGTTAGTGCCACTAAAAACATTGTAAATGACCCAGTGGCCTCAACTCTTCAGGCTGCATTACTTTCATTATTGATCAATCTGTTGATAATTTCTTTCAATTGAACAAATTAATAATTAGGTTTAAAATTGTCAGTAAATAAAAAAAGTGAGTGATGTCCAGGATGAGGTCTTCAAATGTCTTGTTTGTCCACCCAGCTTTTCAAAACTCAAAAGATATTCAGTTTACGAGAATATAAAAAAAAGAGAAGCAGCAAGTTTTCACATTTGAGCAGTTGAAACCAGCCATGTTTGATATTTTTGTTTGATAAATGACTAACAATTTAAACTTTGTCAGCGATGAACTTTTCTTAAGTATTACAAAAATGTACAGGAAAAAGAATCCTGTTAAGTTGTCATTTGTTGTATGAAAAAAAGGACCGACATAGCCAACATAAAAATATGCTGCAATACAGCCAGTGATTAAGTGAGCCCTTAAGAGCCTTTTGGTAGGCAATATTTCTGTGCTTTTCCTCCCCCTCCCTCCCTTTCCTCCTCTTTTACACCATGGTCACGCACAAATATGTGCTCTCACAGCAGCTTCTGTTTCAGTTCCTCTTGACAACATGCCACATGAAAACAAGGTCTGCAGGGAGCGTTGAGGAGAGGTGGGTGCTGAATGGACCAGTCATGAATCATTGCCGTCGGTGCTGAATGGGGGTACTATTTGGGAGAGGGAGTGTGAAGGTCATGTATGGGCCTATCAGAGTGGATGGACTGACGTGTCGGCTGTTTTGGTGCAGGGGGAGCCGTAGAGGGAGGACGGCGCTCTGACCTCTCGATGTTCCTGCGTAGGTCGGACACCTGTGCATTGCCCCTGACCATGAGGGCGCAGGCCAGGTAGAGGCTGTGCTTCGGGTCAGCTCGGATTAGCTGGTGGTCTTTACTGAAGGCATCGCTGAACATCTGATCCAGTCTAGAGGGCACAGTTAGTGGAGACAAATACTTAAAAATACTTTTTTTAAATGCTCAGTGGAGAAAAATTCTTTCCAGATATTACATCTGCATCCTGACAACTGCAATGGGCTTGCAGGGATTTCAGGTATAGGTGAGTTCGACTGGGGGCCAAGAGGGCAACATTAGAGAAAAACATTTTGTACCATTATTTATCCAGGCAAGTTCTGCTGAGCAGGCGAGATATTTTTAAGCAACACCCTGCTTCACATTCATACAGTCCCATACATTCAGTTGCCCAATACAACCACCACTCTTTCTGACCAATGAGCAGCCCCTCTGGAGCAAGTGAGGCCTATGGTTCACACAAGGCCACTTTCATTGCTGGTTGTTGGGGAGACGGAGGGAGGGTGGTGGATCAAATGGTGCTTTTCCTGTCACAAGCCTGCAACTCTAAACTTGAAGTTGCCACCATCCCACTTGATAAAATGAAAGCCAGCTTTGTGGGGCCTCCTGTTTAAATGATGGTACTGATCAGACCAAAACATGTTTTCAATTAAAAGGATAGTTTGGGTTTTTTGAGGAGGGGTTTTATGAGGTACTTATGCATAGACAGTGAAGTCATGTGTACATGCAGTAGACGTCCCAGAACAGAAGCTCTGCGATGCACTGCTGTGGACGGGGGAAGCAGAAAAACTTATTTTAGCCTAAAAAAAATCAATATCACATTCCACATATATACTATATTTAACTGCTTTACTTTGCTGTCAGACAGCCCTTTCCTTTGGCACTACATTTTCTCAACGGTAGAACTTCCATATTCCTTCGCCTACTGTTCCATGCACTATATGATGCCACAGGCGATACAATGGTGTAGAGAAGAGAAAAGAAATGGAAGTAAATAAAAATAGTGATTATGAAAGCAACAACAAAATGCGGCTCACTGTGGTAACGAGAGGATATCTTTGTAAACCAGAGTATACAGAAGAAGAACTTGTGCAGATGGATACTGAACAAAAGAAAAGTAAAGGAGAGAGCGGGGTAACTATAGTCTCACATAGCCTGACTTATTAAGGTCAAACGGTGAAAATAGTCTAAATACTGATTCTTTTTAGGTGGCCCTTTTTTATTTGGCTAAAATACATTTCATTGCTGCCCCTGTCCACAACAGTACATTGCTTAACGTCTGTTTTAGTACTCCTGTCTGAATCTCCAAACTGGGGGTGCACTGACCGGCAACAAGAAAGATAAATGTAAAGAAGCTGCTGTTTTGGAAGCTCTTCACAGATTATTTTCATCATCTCTCAGGGTAATATTGGGAAGGCTAATGTTGTTTTTAATTCGCATTTGATTCAGATCAAGTAACATTTGTCATTACCTATCAAGTTATGAAATTATGAAACAAGTAAATGAAATTGTCCAAATGAATGACTCTGAACCAGAAGTAACTAAGTTACTTATTGAAATGTTTGTTCTGTATCAGTAGGTTTGCCTGATGTTCCAGCAGTTCAGTGAACTAAACATCACTTTATATTTATTTTAATACATTTGCAATATCATAATATACTAAAATTGGAAACCATATTCATATTTGTATTGCAGGTATTGTGTATTATGACTTTTAACCATATTGCTCAGGCCTATCTGTAATTCATTAAGCAGTGACAGCTCGCCAACAGACCTTCTGGTTGGGACACTGACATCTGCCAGCGTGTAGAGAGGGGTGAGGCTGGGCACCAGGTAGTGTAAACGGGGGAAGGGGACCAGGTTCATGGCAATCTCATTCAGGTCCATGTTGAGAGAGCCCTCAAAACGGGCTGAGCTGCAACAAAGGAAATTCCAGGTGATGCATAAGCAACATTTAGAGGCATGGTGATGCTGATTTAGCAGTAAAGGGCATTTCTATCAGACACTCACTGGATAACAATGTAATAACTACTGAAACAAATGCATGTTCAAACTCCAGGCAGTTCCCTCAAAAACCAAGGTGGGTGCCAAACGTAAGAACAAGTAAACTAGATAAGCATGGAAACAAACAAATACAATCATATGCTATGGCTCTCAGTCACCAGATGTTAGCCCAAGATTTTCTCAAGCTTAACTCTTTTGTTTAAAAACAGGAGATGGTAGTCAAAAATTCAAGTATGGAGTCCATTTGAGAGTCAACTTTTACCTATAAACTAGGCCTTTGACAATAACTACTTTTGTTGGATTATATATTATACCAGAAATTATTATTATTATTTTAAGACATTATGCCACTGATTTAATGATAAGCATAATAATGCTGATGTAATAAAGTACACCCTTTTTAAAGAACAATGAACTTTTAATTCTTCAGCATATTCAAACATTGGAATATGAAAAAAACAAACATCCTAAATAAATAAAACATAAATAAAACCACACAACCAGAACAATAAATAGGTACTGGACTAAATGATTGCACATAAATAGATATTAAACATTTGGCATAGGGGTAGGCTATAGAGACAGGCAATATAGTATTGGTGGGAAATTGAAATGGGAGCTTCACCTCACAACACAAAGAGTTTATAAGCTACTGTATTAGAGTACAAAGCTGCCCTGAACCTTCAAGGAAAGAGTCAGGGGATTGTGATTTAAAAGGTATGTACATTTAGGATCTATTG